CCCTCCCTCCCTCCCTCCCTCCCCCCCGCGCCCCGAGCCTCGAGCCTCGGTCTTTCTCTGGCTCTGCCGGAGCCGCGGCTGCCCGAGACCAAGCGGCTGCCCTTCTCGCAGCCGCCGCTGGGGGACTGGCACCTCTGGGTCCTAAAGGGATCGGATTTCCGGGGCCGGAGCCTGTGAGCCCTCCCCTTCCCCTCCACCCGATCTTATCCCCTCCCCTGCCGGTCCCCCGAGGAGAGTCTTCCGCAGTCCCCAGACCTTGGCCAGTCCTCTTCACCTCTTGTATCCAAACCTCTGACTGCACTTATCACGACCCTCATAACAGTTGCCCCATTAAATATCGGGGGGAGGCAGTCCAGCCACTGTGGTCTCTCCTCAACTGTGAAGGGGTGCTCTGTGGGAAGGGGCAAAAGATCATTTCCCTCAAGGTCCTTCGAGCTCCTTAGTATGCTTCAAGGCTAGTAACATCAAAATCGCTGGGCTCTTGGTAAAAATGCAGATAGCCGGGGCCTCCCCAAGGCCTTGTGAAGGAGAACCTCAGAGGCTGAACCCGGGAATCTGCGTTTTAACAATTTCCCCTAGGGAATCTTTTGCACCCTTGAAGGTGTGAGGCCTTGGCTCAGCGTTGGTGACCTTGCCCTGGTGGAGGAGGGGGAATGAAGAAAGGAAGTGGGCCCCATCACCCAAGTGGCAAAGGATCCCAAAGCTGCCCTTTGCCCTCTGGAAGTCTGAAGAGGCTGCCTGCTCTGCACCCCAGGCTGGAAGAAAGGGGGTAGAATCCCTGTCTTCATGCCCCTACCAGGGCACTCTCATCTCTCAAACAGGAAGAAGGGGTTTGGAGAAGGAATTCTAGAGGTCTGGGGCCAAAGTCTCCCCAGTGAGCGCTCTAACTTGGGTCTCTGATTTAGGAGATCCTAACCACTGCAAGGGTGCAAGGGTGTTGGGGGAGGGTGATGGTGTCCTACACATTCCCTGTCCTGGCAACCCAGAACGCTGCTTTGATGCTGCCCCTGCACCCTACATACACAAGGGGTCTAGGGCTGTCCTTTATCCTGCCCCAGCTGCCTGGGCCCTGGGGGTGAAGGTCCACCCTCTGGACAAATCCACATCCGCTGTTTCAGTCCACAGATCCCAGAAACTGATGAACAGAGTGGACCCTAGGACCCAGAGAACAACCCAGGCACAAAGCCTCCCCCCCCCCCCCCCCCCC